AGAAACGCCACTATGTCAAGATACTGGCATTTGCCCAGGACATTGGTGATATTATCCTTCAAGGCATACTCTCGCCGCCTGAGACCCGCGTCAATCCCGATCATCTGGAGGCACCGGATGCCTCCCCAACTAAGAATGTGTTCGCGGATGTTCGTGAGCGTCGCAAGCTGGGCAAGCGTATCTTGAAGGCAATCCAGCCTCAACTTGAAGCTGCTCTTAAAATCGAGTGCGAGATCTCCAACGTGCCCTTTGAGACACTCCAGAAAGAATTGGAGACTAGGATCGATACCAGTTTGGGGCATCAACAGCCACCGATTGTGGTTCAGAGTCAGTACAATGTGGTAGAAGAAGAGGAGGAGGAGGAGGAGGAAGAGGAAGAGGAGGAGGAGCCTGAACAAGAAGAGGAACAACAGCAGCAAGACGAAGAAGATGACAGTCACGATACGATCATGGTTGATGCCACGCCATCAGAAATCACGGTGAAGGCACGGCAGTCAGAGGAGACGCAAGATACTGATGTCGAAGCTATGGACATCACAGTTCATGTAAGAGGCTTGGATGGCGGGAGTATAGATGTGAATACATCTGGGCTCGGCATCACCAATGGCGACATCGAGGTCTCCGAGGACAAGATAACGCTTGAGCACGATCCACAATCGGAGACTCCTCCAGGAAGTACCACGTTTGTACGAGCAACTAATCGCAGGCACAAGGAGCCCCCGACACCGCCACAATCTAATGGTAGCCTGGGCAAGGAGTCTGACCCTCTTGCAGAAGGTGGTGTGCTATGGTATCTGAAAGAATACCAACCTCGTGGAACTTCCATCGTGGGAGACCTTTGGGCCGCGGGGAGAGATGCGGTCCGGATGCTGAGTGAGGACCTCACTGACTTGGATGACGACGAGCTTAAGGGGCTCGGAGCAGACGTCAATGGGGCCACCTCCATGGTGGTGGACACGGAGATTGAAGAGACCGTGACATATCTTAGTGTATCAAAATCGCGGGCGACCACGTCGCCCCGGAAGCGGAGGACATCGACTAGGAGGAGATGAGGGCTTCGAAAGGGGAGGGAGCCGGATGACTCACCAATGTTGGGCTGGAGTAAAGAATTTGGGTTTTCAAGCATGACGTGTTGATTCGGTGCCTTTCTAGGAGCACACAAACGTGGGGGAGCTTGGTATCCTGGTGTTTTTTTTTTCTTGCTTGCTCTGCTTCCTTATTCTTTTTTTTTGGACTCCCGGTGTGTTACTTTTCACTTTCTACTTTTTTTTCTTGCTTTTCCTAGGAAGCTTGGCGTTCACGGAGGATACAAGATGGCTTATATTTAATCATGGCCGGGCCTTGCTGCGGTGGTTGATCAGGTCATGGCATGTCTCGAATGATTTTTCTTTTAGACTCGGTCGCATGTCTCGGCGGCAAAACGATGTATGTACAGTTGCACAGAATAAAACACCTGATACCCATAGCCTCTCTTGTACCTTGGTTGCCGCGTCAGTCCTTGTCGTGGAAGTGAGATTGCATCGTGGCTATTATTGGAGAATGGTCTACTCTTTTGCCAGTTAGAGATGCAATCTATACCTATCTGTGCTAGCCGATCGTCTGCCGGTGGCCATATAAGACTTTTCTCTTTTATTATAATTAATGAAAATCATTTGTGTTGGGCCGCAATTAACTTGTTAGTGACGCATCAAATAGAAAGTTCGCCATGAGCGTCGATCATAAAAGCAGAAACAGCAATGATAAGACATCCTTTATGATGAATGCCTCGTATAGAAAGAAAGGCATAGTGATAAAGTGGACAGGCTTTCATCTTTTAGTACTTACTCGTTTATACCAGAAGCGACGTTAGGAGTGCTTTCGTATAGGTAGTTTCCATGTCGCTCGCCTCGAGCGATACTGTCGGCCGAATATGCAAGCTGATACATATTAACACATCAATAAGTAAGAAATAAACTGCTGGTTTGGTTATTGTCTTGATAGCGGTTTAAATATTGTGCAAATTTATTTTGACTTTCTGTGTCATACACCTTAGGTATGCGGCATTGAACATTCCCGCCGGCCTCGCAAGAATTAACCTCGAGACTAGCTTAGCACCGCTACTTGATCTTCAATCGAGGAGCGACTGGGATCTGCAAGGCGATCTGCTGGCACTAGGGATGCGTAGCGGGCGGGCACACGAAGCTGTCATTCGACGGGACGATTCTGTTGGTCCAGGCCTGCATTGGGCATACCCATAATAAGGACGGTGCATCAAATAGATCAGGCTTGGCCCAGCGACGAGCTCGAGTTTGTCCGATAGTCAAGTCGATCGATCGATGACTGACTTTGAGGGACAGCTGCCCCGAGTTGCGATTGGGGGGCTGGCTGGCTGGCTGGCAAAGCTGGGAACAAAGAAGGGCGATCCGCGACGTTTATTGGAGGCTTTCGGAGAGGGGGACCCTAATAATTCTGTTGAGAAACCCCAACGACGACCCCCCTCTTGAACCGGTGAAGGCAGATTCAAGGTTGCCTTATCGGTGCGGGGATACAGGCGCGAAGCCACCCAAGGTTGTCCCATCGGCCCCAGAAACGGGCAGTTGTGGTCAAGAGACTACGGGCGAACGACCAAAGCTGAGTAAGCATTTGCTGCTTATACGAGGCGGGGGACAGGCCATGTTCGTTCGACATCTAGTAATACTAAGTAGCATGCGGCAGAGCACAGCTTTGCAGCAGGCGCTGGGCCAAGCTTTTGCGACATCCACCGTCTAGCATGTCTCGCGATCGGATTGGGCCGATTAGAACCAGGGGGGCCAACGCCAGGTTATTATGTGCAGCCAGTCTGAAACAAAGAAAGACGACCATATTTCGAGTTTGGAGCTGGATGTGGGCGGTTGGGCGGAGGCAGGCAGGCTGGGCCAGAGCCAATATGAAGACTGGCTACTAACCTGGCACACAATCCCGCCCCCCTTGCATTTGATCATATCGTGGGCAGTTCTGGTCGGCGCCTTTTCTTTCCCCATACAGTACGTTGCTGCAAAAGCTCTTGTAATCACATATTGGTGCCTGGCACAAGCTCCAGTCTAAAGGTGGCAAAAAGAACAGGATCTCACTTGCAGAGCACTACGGCCGTCTGGGCAGTAGTGTGACCCTACAGTGAGGGGCGGCGACCCAGTAGGCTGAGCAGCAAAAAACTAGACATCTGGATAATGAGGATTTAGGGGTGAGTCCAAAGCTCGGACAGCTCGGAACATGGCCCAACGCAAGGACTGCTCTCGGATAACCTTCATACCCAATTACCCAGGGGTGGTGGTTGAAATGGCAGTAGCAAGGTGAGGTAGGGCAGTAATTCTGGTACGGTTACGGATACTGGTACGGGCTGGCGCCCAGGCAGACAGGGCAGTGCATGGCATCCACGGGTTGGGTGACTGACGTTGTTGCGAAGCAGTGTCTGGCGGCTACCCGCTGCGGTGGAAGGTCTGGGCTTGCGCGTCCACGCTACTCGATTGACGGGCGGTCCTTCTTACGCCAGTCACTCAGTCTTGGTCGCAAGTGAAGAGTGCGCCGTGGTGGGAAAGTGGGAACAGGAGATAGGGGTCTTGGAGTTTTCTTGGATCATTCGCTATGTCTCTTCCTTTTTTCGGGAGCTTCAAGCCACTAAGATGCAGCAGCCCAGTGACCGTGTAGGGGCCAAGGCAGCCACTCACAGGCCTAGAGGCTGACCCTCGCTCTAGCCTGCAGCGCTAATTATAACACTTAGGTGCATCCTGGCAAGCCTGGGGCCTCGTTTCTGGGTGCCTCTCCTGCCTGGGCCACTAGAACCGCAGCGTTGCTAGTGGTGGTGCCCCGTCAGTCCTGGTCCCGGGCAGAGAAATCCTTCTGCCCTCATCTCTCTGCGCGCGAGAGAAAAAAATAACATCCCTCGAACAAGAGATCCCGCAACACAAGCGAGAGCACAGCGACCGACACAATACAGTGTCCACCGACGGAGAATCCTCATAGAGCCATCTCTCACAACGATTTTGTTATCACGGGTCAGTGCATTCATATTTGAATTTACTACCCCTTATCGGCGAGACAAGAGCGAGCGACCGTGACTCCTATCAACCGAGTGCGCCGCCTCCCTTTGAGCACGCGAAAGCGAAGCAACACCAAGCGATCTTCCCCAGCGAGCGACTTTTGGCCTTCGGACCAACCCAGGCGACGACGTCTGCAGACGACCAGCAGACGCTTCTGATCTCCATTTTACCGGACCTCCTCGACACTGATTTCTAATCCGTCGACGCTGTGCTGAGCATCCCTCTGCAGGCCGCCGTGGCAACTACGACGACGACACGACAACCGCGAACCTGTCGTGATCCTACGAAACCCAACAGTCGCCAGCCCATCTCAACCGAGTGGATAACACTCCTTTGCTGAACCAGAGTGCGCCCGGGTAATTTTTTTCCATTTACCCACCCTTGTGCTGATTCCTCCGCGAGGCGAGAGGTCCCCTTTTACCAGAGCTGTGATCGCTTCAGAGTGAGTTGGCCCGCCCTCTGCTACCCGCTACATCCCAAAACCTCCAGACAGACTTAGCCTGCCTTGGCTGCTGCGGCCCCTCCTCCCCTCCCACCTCAACCACCATGTCATTCATTGTCAGCCGAATTTTCTCTGCCTTTCCTCGCCGCCCATAACACTTCGCTTTTTTATTAAGCAGAGCTTTATTTTGTCGGCATTCTACTCGCTGATTTGTCTTATTTTTTTCTCTCGTTTCTTCGATCAATCCTGGTGCTTGCAAATAGCTGACTGGCTTTTTTTTCTCGTCTTCGTTTCAGTTGCAGGCCTCCCCATTCGAAGTGCATCATCTGAGTGCCCATCAGCATCCCGTAATCCCTGTGCGTGACGAAGTTTCTCCATCTCCCCCGCTGCTGCAACTCCATCTTGCGCATCGGTGAGATCTGGTTGTTTCCCTGCCACGCGCAGTCGTCCCCCCCCTCCACGGTATTTGCGAGCCACTCCCATAAGCGAGGACACACAACACAATGGCAGACCAACACGAGGTTGATCTTGACTCAATAATTGACCGGCTGCTCGAGGTGCGAGGCAGCCGACCCGGCAAGCAGGTCCAGCTCCTCGAGGCTGAGATCCGCTTCCTCTGCACCAAGGCCCGAGAGATCTTCATTTCTCAGCCTATCCTCCTCGAACTCGAGGCACCTATCAAGGTGCGTTTCTCCCTTGCCCCTCATCACCACCCTACCCCCTCCTCCCCTGTCCGGATATTCCGCATTGTAGACCGTGACTAATAATCATGTTGCAGATCTGCGGCGATATCCACGGACAATATTATGACTTGCTGCGTCTTTTCGAGTACGGTGGCTTCCCTCCGGAGGCCAACTACCTCTTCCTCGGTGACTACGTCGACCGTGGTAAACAGAGTCTCGAGACCATCTGCCTGCTCCTGGCCTACAAGATCAAGTACCCCGAAAACTTCTTTGTCCTGAGAGGAAACCACGAGTGCGCCTCCATCAACCGTATCTACGGCTTTTACGACGAGTGCAAGCGCCGATACAACATCAAGCTTTGGAAGACCTTCACAGACTGCTTCAACTGCCTGCCAATTGCCGCCATTATCGACGAGAAGATTTTCACCATGCACGGAGGTCTGAGCCCTGATCTGAACTCCATGGAGCAGATCCGCCGGGTCATGCGACCCACTGATGTATGCAACTGCCTTGGCAATTGGTGCCATTGATGTTTGTTCAATGCATGCTAACAAATTCTTAGATTCCCGACTGCGGCCTGCTGTGCGATCTGCTCTGGTCTGACCCTGATAAGGACATCACTGGGTGGAGCGAAAACGACAGAGGTGTCTCCTTCACGTTCGGCCCGGACGTCGTGTCGCGCTTCTTACAGAAACACGACATGGATCTTATTTGCCGTGCCCATCAGGTCGTTGAGGATGGATACGAGTTCTTCTCCAAGCGACAGCTTGTCACTCTGTTCAGCGCGCCCAATTACTGTGGAGAGTTCGACAACGCAGGTGCCATGATGAGCGTTGACGAGAGCTTGCTCTGTTCCTTCCAGATCTTGAAGCCTGCTGAGAAGAAACAAAAGTAAGTCTTTAATTACCCCGCCTGTCGATCCAATTCATCAAACAGGCTTCCTACTCTTGTGAGATCTTCATAGATATACTGACCATCATCCAGGTTCGGACGACGATAAGCGACACCTCCTCTACTTGCAGGCCTAATCACCACTTCCTCGGACTGTGACTGGTTCGTCTCTGCGAAGCTTCTTCCGTCTCGCCATAATCTCGCCGCCTCGCTCCCTCGCCGGGTCTGCCATCCGGGTTGTTGTTGGGCGTTTCCCTCGGACCGTGGGAATATCGAGCGTGTCGAAACATACCTGTAATGCCTCGACGGGCTCTAAGATCACTAATGCTCATACGCAAACTTGATCACGACAATCGGCTGTTTGTTAGCTCTCAGATTAAATATGCACACAAAACTCTATGATTTTACACCTTTAACCAGGGTTCAACTGTCCATTGACGGTTTTCTTTCCTACTCTCAGTCTTTGATGTGATCCACTGCTGACATGAGTTCGCCCTGTTGTAGCCCTCAGTATATTGTCCTAGGTAGATAGAAATGACCTTGGCAAATGTAGAGTGATCTTCATGTATGGTCCCGACCCAATTGCCAGAACCTAGCTTTTTGCTCAAACCACGGTCCCCAGCCAGTCCTGCATGGACACCCACGTATGGTTTACAGAATGTAGAGGCTGGGATGAATGTAGCAGTTTGAGATAACGAATAAGGATTCTCCAAGCAAGTACAGAATAACTGACTACCATAGCCAGCGTTTTATTTTTGCTGTGTTTCCAATATGAAACGACCAGTACTTAGAGTCTAGACGAGACATACCCCCAACTCAGAGAAAGATGGTATGTGTATGTTACCTAGGGTAGGGATGCCGAGGCTCTTCTGTGATCCCAACAGCCTGTTCCTTCTTGTACCCGGGGAGAGGATCAATTGGAAGAAGACAACGAAACAGTACGAGAGAGGTATGCCAGTATCAATAATGATTCTTCTACGTTTGCTTTCACTACTTTGCCAGGCTCTCGTGAGCTCTAACTGCATTGCTCTTCGATTTTGTCAAATCCCAGCACGCAACTTCTCCAAGGAATAAGTGAGCAACCCCCATCATCATTGACAATCCTCGCATGCCTTCCCCTCCCCAGTAACCTCCTCACCTTTCCCCTTGGCCCCCTGCCTGACCTCCTCCTCGGGACTCTTCGTCGACGTCGTCGCCGCCCCCTTCGAAGCCCCGTGCCGGTCAACGTGGCCCAGGTCCCGCCCAGGCTCGACCACGTCCCTGATCCGCCGCTTCAGCTCCTTGGTCTCGGGGAACCCGCCGTCGGCCCGCCGGTCCCACAGGACCTTCCTCTCGCCGGCGGCCTCACCGTGGTGGATGGCGACGATGAACGTCCCGCCCGTCGAGGGCTGCAGCGCGACCTCCCCGAGGGCGAGGGAGAAGGTCGAGAGGAGCTCCTGGGCGTACTGAACGGCGGGTGCTCGTCAGCGGTTGTGCCCTTTTTTTTCTCTTCTAATTTGGGTTTGGGGGGGCGAGAAAATGGTGAAACACGGGGAGGAGGGAGGAGGGTTTGCGAAACCAGAGGGGAAGGAGGGGTTGGGGTTGGGCTGGGCTGGGGGACTTACATATGCGGCGCGGAGAAGCCATTTGCACTGGGTGCAAAACTCAATTGTGACTCGGGGGAGGCGAGCTGGGACGCTCTGTTCTGTCGTTGGGGGCGCGGCTTTGGTGTCTGCCATTTTGACAATGGGCTGGCTGGAGGTTGTCGTTTGCCAAAGGTAGTCGTTACAAGAATTGATGGATAAGACAAATCGATAACGCAACTATCAAATAGCTGGGTAAATACGATTGGGAACGGGATTGAGACCAGCTATGTTGCTTCCAACGTTCCAGAAGGGAAATGTTTCAATTTGTCAGTCGCCTTGTCGCTGTTGATCGTCAGTGAGATAGACTTTCCGCCGGCGGCCATCAGTTTGAGAAAGCACGCGGTGTTTATGACCTAGAGTGGGCGGCGGGAGGTGACCCATCAAGGCCACCATCAACACCTCGAATGGGCTCGAGATGAACATTGACATCGTTTGAAGCAGTGATATTTAGATAGAAAAAGGTTACATGACATTGAATAAAGTGAAATAAAATGTGAGAAAGGGAAATAATTAGACGGTCGGGTGTCCCGGTTCCTTCAGACCGCAAAAATAAGAGCACTCCCTCTCGCCAATTCCACCGTTGCGGGACAATGCTTGGGCAAAATAAAGAGCAGTCGGTCCCTTGTTGGATGCCGCTGACACCAACCTCCGCGTCTTGTCCCATCCCCGTTCCTCGCCCCCGTCATAAAAGCACCCAGGTATACGTCGAGTCAACAGGTCGCAATCGTGCGTCCGCATACAGATTGCGCCAAGAGATAAATACATAGAGAAGAAGTAACTGGAGTCGTCCTCTCCGCAAACATACGCTAGCTTAATCGTCATCGACGGTCATGTTTCCCTAGCCATTTAATCCGTTGATGTTGTAAATTTTGATTGTTCGGTCCGTCCCTAGAGATCTACCAGGTTGCCGATAAAGGAAAGAAGAAAATTAAGCGGATGCCATTTTACATGATCACGCAGCAGCCACCCGATTGTTGTGGCGCGTATGGGTCTTCGCCCTTGGGGACCTGGCCCCAGGTTGAGGGAACCATGTAGTCTCTCGTTCCGTTGCAATACGCGATGATGCTAATCAATGGTTAGTTGTCATCCGTAGGGTAGTAAGTAGATATATGCCTTACCTCTTCGCAGCGGTGCTCACGGGGATGCGCTCGCGCTCGAGGTCCTCCCGTAGGCGGTTGTTGAGCTCAGTCAACCGTCGCAGCTTCAAATCAGCCATCGACTGCTTGTTCTTCTTGATTTGCGATGGGTCGCCAACATCGCGGGAGGTGTATTGAGGCATTATGATAAATGGTGATGGTGAGACTAAGGAAGGTAGGTAGGTTGGTATTAAACGTGAAGGTGGTTAGGGTTTTTCGAGTACGCCCGATCTGCAAATTGTCCAAGCGTCAGCAATAGGGTCCATCAACAGGCCTCCGTTTTTGGTGATTCTCATGCCAATGAGGATGGAAGAGCGCGAAGATTCTAGTCTATCGATGGTCGAGTCCGGTTTGAGGGGGATCGAGCATATTGCCGGGCCGCACGGGAAAGCGCGTCAAGGGAATGGCGGCAGTTTATTGTGGTTGTCTTGCCTGGCCGCTCTCATCGAATCATACAGGCGTCATGCATGGATTAAATCCGTTGTGGCCGAGGAGCGTTGTATGTTGTCAGAGAATGATGCAGCGTCCTTGTTATCGTGTGCAAAAGCAGCATATGTTTCGTCCCGAGTACATGGAGTGTCGTCGTTTTGGTTGTCCTGATCTGGCGTGCGCGTGCCATCCAGGCTCGTCCCCTTTTCCCTCTCTTCCGGCCCCCAGGGTACGCCCAGCACCGAGGGAGCGACCACTTGGGCAGCCGAAGCAGCAAAAAGGAAATCAATGCAATGACTTACCCAACACTTCTATTCCTGTATGAGGTTTGTCGTCGAAAGACACTGGAAGGCGGATGTTCAATGACGGGGTGACGGAATGAGTGGAAGAGTCGTGGGAAGCCGTGAGGGAGTAGGTGGAGAGAGGGTGTGAGGATGTGGAGGGAGCGAGAGAGACACGGCAACAGCAGCACAACAGAGCTTCCTTCCCAATAGGAACGGGGCGGACCAGGCTCACCTGGCGGCGACTCACAACCTCCGGTGGAGTGGAGCCACCGACTCCAGTCTACTGCTAATTTAAAAGGCTGATTTACAGCGGACTCCAGGGGTTTAGTGCTGCACAGCAGGGGAGTGCTGCCGCATACTGGAACGCTGCCAGGTCGGCTCCAGCCCCCTCGCTAATCCTGGGCCTTTTCCTCTCATTGTGCAAGATTGGGATCAGTCCCAGATTGGCTCTCTGAAAAGGATTGCAATTCCTCCTGCGTCTCCTGAGATTTCATCACCCCCCCTTCTAACGTGCATCTTTGGGAGCTGATCCGCCACCTGCCAATACTCATCTTAAAGGCGCCAGACTACGGATCCCCAGTGAAGCTCTAGCGTCACCACCGCTCCTGTGCCCCCTCGATCAATTGAACTGACCAGGGCCAGATGAAGTCGCCCCAACGGGCATTACCCATAAAAATGGGGCCAGGAGCCGTCAGTGAAGCTAGGTCCTGCGCCGAGAGACTTACGTGCTGCAAAAGAAATTGAGGGATGCAGTTCTTCCGAGACTTGCACCTACATAAGTGGTATTGACCTGCCTCCAGAGGATCCGACCCCACCCAGTTGGCTCCAGCCTTCGCCCTCCTGAGGCCGCAGGGTCCGTTTTAGTGCTCTTAGGGGGAAAGCTGCCTTGGCTGCCTGCTAACTTGGCGTGTTCTGCAATCACGTGAAATAGTTGGTCGAACGTCGCGTAGGTAGTTGATCTTCAAGCTCCCAGTCGATCCTAGCCCACTGACTTGTGACGTGATCGTTTACGAGCTGTAGTGAGAACGAATATGGATCGTTTCGATTTTGTGAGCCAAGGGAAAAATTACTGTGGTCATGTTGAGCTTCAGGCCAACTACGGAATACATTCACAGCGTACCTAGCCCATGGGAAAATTACTGAACGCACAGACCTGGAGCTTTGCGTCGTCCATTCGGATGAAAGCATTTGGAAGACGGCTGCTGTGATACCACTTACCAAGTTAAGAACAGTCACTTCGGGAAGAAATGGCGGAAGTTACCAGAGATTATACATCACCCCGACGATATTTGCCTCTACAGACCATGGTTCTGATGGTAGGACATAGATTAGCTTTCGTGAAACAGCAGCCATGAACTGAATTGTAAGAGTAAGCACCAACCTCGCATAAGTCGCAACAGTAACAGTGTATGAAATTCGTTATCATCGTGCTGCAAACCAGCATATAGGTGCTTTAATCTCCAGTATCCACCTCCAAGTCGAGCTGCACACCGTTTGAAATTCCGTAATCCTCCAAACTAAGCTGGTCTTTGAATGGCCGTTCGCCCTGGCGCTTCAACATGATTTGCCCTGGCTCGCGACCGATCCGCGCGGCCACCATAATCTTCAGCTCACGAATCGTATCAGATGGTAAGCATGGGATGGCAGATTTTGTGCCCAGACGATCATTAATGTTCACAACAATCATTTCTTGGCCTGGAGCTGCAGCGGCAACCGGGGGTTTCTTGTCCTTCTTGGCGGGCTTCTCTGAATCATCCTTGGGTTCCCTGTCTCTCCTCCGAGGGCGGTCATCATGTGATGGGCGAAAAGATTCACGATCGTTTCGGCTTCGACCATCTCTCTCGCGGTCGTTTCTATCGCGGTCGTTTCTGTCGCGGTCGTTATCGCGGTACGAGTTGCGATATCTAGGGGGGGACCGGTTGCGATAGTCTCGTCGTCGGTCGTTGTCTCGTCGATCCCTATCGCCATCATTCGAGCGACTCTCCTTCCACCTGAATCCACGGTTGGCTTTGGGTGGGCGTCGCCCAGGCGAACGAGAACGCGACCGTCGTCGCGAATCGTCCGCCATCTTTAACTTTTCCTGGTTTGTAAGGGATTTTCGGTATTGATAGCAGTAAAAGAGCTCTTTGCTAAAATTTAAAGAGGCGTTCAATATCCAGCCGTCAGGTGTTGTTGGGCTGAGAACAAGATCGGGAACTATAGTGGATCTCTTCGAGTCCCTGTTGAGTTCACGTGATGCAGAGAGCAGCTTGGTTGTGTTGTCTGAAAAAAAGCCAGGGCAAATGAGACCCCAATAGAGAAAAAGAATGAAATGCAAATCAACGTTTATGCAAATGCGGAAATGAGGGCCCAGTCCAGTATTTTCGAGGCATCGGCTTCTTTAATGGAAACCAGGTGAGTTGTCAGTTCTTTTGGCATGAAATCAATTTCTAGAGAGCAATGCGAAAATTGCTGAGGTAATCATTATCTCACGTGATTTCGTTCATTCAGGTTAACCCCGCCACACACGAATTTGAAAAATTGATATCGAGTATGTGAGGCCTGTAACCCACGTTTTGATAGGGACAGCCGGCACAACCTGTGCACTCATTGATTCAACTACGGCGCAACCATCGCCAGAAGATACTTCTGCCAGGCTTGAGTCGATCCGTTGAGGAGGTTGCCCAATATGGTATGTATTTATATATATATATTTCCTACCAGGGGGTCATGGAGTTCAATATGCTCAACTACCCCTCCCTAGAGCACATTTTATTTCATGTCTGTTGAACTTTGCTAATATCTGATTCCAACAGCCTCCTCCGCCGCACCAAAAACCGGAAAATGTCCTGAAGCGCGCCCACGAGCTCATCGGGGTCAACCAGGCCCCTGCGGCCTTGACCCTGCTGCATGAGCACATCACCAGCAAACGCTCTCGTAGCGTCCCGATCGTATCGCTCGAACCTGTTATGATTCTCTTGGTCGAGCTCTCCGTCGAGCAAAAGAAGGGAAAGCTAGCCAAGGATGCTCTGTATCAGTACAAGAATATCTCCCAAAATACGAATATTGGCACCATCGAGGTATGGAATCGCAAACCAGGGGTTAATTTGCAATAACGAGCTAATGAAGGTATAGCTGGTTCTCAAGAAATTTATCGAGCTCGCTGTGGGTAAGGTCACCACTGCTCAGGCCAAGGCCGACGAAGTCCAGTCGACGATCGAAGCCACCACCGCTACATCCAACGTCGACGACTTGGAGGCTACCGAGACCCCCGAATCCATCCTCCTCGCCACCGTCTCTGGTGAGCAGTCCCGCGACCGTACCGACCGTGCCATCGTTACTCCCTGGCTGAAGTTCCTGTGGGAGGCCTACCGTACTGTCCTGGACATTCTCCGCAACAATGCTAGGCTCGAGATCTTGTATCAGAGCACTGCCATGCAAGCCTTCGACTTCTGCCTCAAGTACACTCGCAAGACTGAATTCCGAAGACTTTGCGAACTTCTCCGAAACCATGTGCAGACGGCAGCAAAATACTCGTCCCAGATGCATGCCATCAATCTCAACGACCCAGATACTCTCCAGCGTCATCTCGAGACTCGATTCCAACAACTCAACGTTGCCGTCGAGCTGGAGCTCTGGCAGGAAGCCTTCCGCAGCGTTGAAGATATCCACACTCTGCTCAACCTCAGCAAGCGACCCCCCAAGAATGTCATGATGGCCAACTACTACGAGAAACTCACACGTATCTTCCTTGTGGGAGAGAACTACCTCTTCCACGCTGCTGCCTGGTCTCGATACTACACTCTCCTCCGCCAGTCTGCAGCCCTGGTGGCCGCCGGCCAGGGCAAGAAGGCTGACAACCCTCCCGCTTCTGATGCTGATCTGCAGAAGGCTGCTTCCTTTGTCCTTCTGTCAGCTCTGGCTATCCCTGTCATCAGCACCTCGCGATCTCGAGGTGCCATGGTCGACTTTGACGAGGCCAGGAAGAACAAGAATTCTCGCTTGACACACTTGTTGGGCATGAACCAGGCCCCTACCCGCTCCCGCCTCTTCAAGGATGCTCTATCCAAGTCTCTCCTTCAGCGTGCCCGCCCCGAGATCCGTGACCTCTACAACATTCTTGAGGTTGACTTCCACCCGCTTTCCATCTGCAAGAAGATTTCTCCTATTCTCACAAAGATTGGAGCCGATGCGGAGATGGAGAGGTATGTCGTGCCTCTTCAGCAAGTCATTCTCACGAGACTGTTCCAGCAGTTATCGCAGGTGTACGATACCGTGGATTTGAGCTTTGTGGAGGGCCTAGCCCAGTTCCCTGAACCATACCAAGTGTCCCGCAGCACCATCGAGAAGTTCATTATGAACGGTAATAAGAAGGGTGATCTTTCTATTCGCATGGATCATGCCACTGGTGTCTTGAGCTTCGATAACGACGTGTTCTCATCAGCCAAGGCTGGTCACAGTGGTTCTGGAGGAGGCTCCGCTGAGTCTGAGACAGGCACCGTCCAACGCCTGCAGAGCACTCCTTCTGAGATTGTTCGTTCTCAACTCACCAGGCTTGCCCGCAGCCTTTACACTACGTGCCATTACATTGATCCTGAGTTCAACAAGGAGCGCTTGGCAGCTCGAAATGCCGCACTGGCCCGAGCAAAGGCGGGCGCGGAGCAGGAGCACCTCGACACAATCGCTCGCAAGGAAATCATCCAGAAGCGCAAGGAAGAAGCCTCTGAACTCCAGGCTCGACGCGAGAAGGAACTCTCCCGCCAGAAGCGACTCCGTGAGCAGCAGCTTCAGGAGGCTGAGGACAAGCGTCTGGCTGATGAACAGAAGGAGCGTGAAGAAAAGCGTATCAAGGCCGAGCACGATCGTGTCCGCAAGGAAGAGCTTAAGAAGCAGATTGCCGATCTCAAGATGAATGACAAGGCCCTTGACATTGATCTTGATGACCTGGATAACCTGGACACCAACCGTCTTCGAGCCATGAAGCTTGCACAGCTTGAAAGAGAGAAGAACGATGTCAATGAAAGACTCCGCATCACTGGCAAGCGCATCGACCATCTTGAGCGTGCTTTACGTAAGGAGGAAGCCAAGAAGTTGAACATTGACTACGAGGCGCAAATCGCCGAAGACCGAAAGATCTATGAACAAGTCAAGGCTAAGACCCTTAAGGAAGCTGAGGAGAAGCACGCCGCCAGCGTTGAGCTCAAGCACAGACTTAGCCGTCTGGTTCCTCTCTACGAGGGCTTCCGATCGTCTCTTCATGAGCGACGCCGCGATGAGTTTGAGAAGCGTCGTAGGGATGCCGAGCGTGAATTGGAGAAGCAGATTAATCTCCGAAAGAAGGAGCACCGAGATCGCAAGCTCCGTGAGAAGAGGGAACGTGAAGAGAGGGAACGACAGTTACAAGAGGCTGAAGAGCGCGCTGCTCGCGAGAAGGAGGAGCAGCGTCTCCGTGAAGAGGCCAAGAGGGCCGAACTTGCCAAGCTTAAGGAACAGCGCGAAAAGGAGCGACAGGAGACGCTGGAGAAGGCTGCACTCCAGCAACGTCGTGAGGAAGAAGCTCTCGCCCGTCGCAAGGCTGAGAGGGAGAAGCCTGCCCCAGCCCCGGCCCGTGTACCAGAGCGTAGCCAAGCTACCGAAGGCCGAAGACCTCCTGTTATTGGATCCGGCAAGTGGCGTGAGCGTGAATCTTCACAGCCTGAAGACGCCCCTCCCCCCGCTCGTGGAGCTCCTATCGAGCGAACAGATTCCAATGAGCGCTCCTCCGGTGGACCACCCCGCCTGCAGCTCGCCGGCAGCAAGCCCAGCTGGCGCGAGCGTGAAGCCGCAAGGGCTGCTGCTGGCGGCGGTGCCCCGGCTGGCGCCTCTGACAACGCACCACCACCAAGGAGGTTCGAGCCTCGCGGCGGAGCTCCCATGGACCGCTCTGGTTCCGGCCGGGGCGACAACAACCGGGCGGAGCCTCCTGCTCCGGCTGAGAATTTGCCTCCTTCGCGGACTGCTGGTAAGTGGGTTCCCCCTCACCTACGAAACAAGCAGTAGGCTAGGGTGATGAATGAGGTATGCACTGGCGTTTCAGGAAAGGTATGATTTCACTTTTGAGGTGGATGTATTCTAGAGCTCAGTATAGTCTACCTTGAATGAGGAATGAGCCCGTGAGAATGGAAAAAAGGAAGTAGTCGCATTCTACATAAGCAAAATTTGTCTTTTCATTTTTGATAATTCTACAAACTTTTCAGACGGTCCTTAAGGGTTATATATCATGGCACTTTTTGAGATGCCTTGAGTGATGAGAACAGGCAAGCCAAATCAAAATACGAGCAAGATTTTCGTTTCCAGCCACAATTAGAACGAACATCTGAACCCACTCACCAGGCAATATATGTGAAAGGCCGCGTAATGGGAAATTGCTTTGTTGGTTTGATGAACCAACACGCGCACCACGCCGGTATAGGGTAACAGATGGATCAAGACAACCAAGGCTTGGAAAATAGTTCGGCGCGAATCCAACATATCAGACTTTCTTTTTCAACTACTGTAACATTATCACAAAAGATGGACTGGATTCAAGAGTTGGCAGTGGCCCTGAAAGATGTGTCGCCGTCTCAAATCTGCCAGGTTTTCTTCGTCTTCGCATCTGTCACAATCATCACGATCCAAACCCTACCTACCACCTACCGCGAAGCGTTGATGGACTACGGAGCTCGTTTAGAGAACGACTCCAGACAGAGTCTTCTTGCCCGGTTTCTGGACTGCCTCCAGGTGCCTCATTCGTGGTTTCTTCACTTCTATATCCTCTCAGTGAGCCTGTCCGCTTTCTGGGGCTGGCAATATGTTACCCGGGGCACTGTGCTGAGAAATATTGCGTCGGCCCAAGTCGCTGCAGGAAATAAACCTCCCATTGACATCTCCCAGGTGTATGTTGCGTGGGCTCTGATGGCCCTCCAAGGGACTCGGAGACTCTACGAGAGTCTCTTTGTGACTAAATCCGGGAGCTCGCCAATGTCAAGCCTTCACTGGCTGCTGGGCCTGCTTTATTATGCATCCATGAGCGTCTCTGTCTGGATAGAGGGTTCAGGTAAGTCCTCAAAGGCGAGTGCGCATGATTTGAGCCTGGGCTTACAATTACTCTCCCCTAAACAACAGGCGCGATCATCAACTCGTGGGAGGACGAACAGGTCATCTTGCGGCCCCCAAAACGACTTGCCCTCGGAGTCGCTCTTTTCACAGCTGGGTGGTTGAAGCAGCAGCAGTGCCACAAGTACCTGTCCAGCCTCAAGAAGTACACGCTTCCCGAGCAAGGCTGGTTCAAACACATTGTCTGCGCCCATTATGCCAGCGAATGTCTTCTGTATCTTGGTCTGTGTGTTTTGGCTACACCTTCAGGCCAACTTTTCAACAATACCCTCCTGCTGGGCCTTTTGTTTATTGCGATCAATCTGGGTACGACGGCCAAGGGTACGAAAGAATGGTATGCTCAGAAGTTCGGTGCTGAGAAGGTAGACCCCAAGTGGAGGATGATTCCGTTTGTCTGGTAGATCTCTCGATGACCCTGACATGGTAAAGTTATAATCATCCTTAAGTTCTACTGCATTTGTCTCGGTCCTACGTACGAATACAGACTGCTTCGTTGAGGAACTGATGCATGTCTGTTGCCGTCTACGAGCAATTGATATTACGGGCAACACGGGGTGGAAGTTAGCGAATGTAGCTCACCATGCAAATCTGGGTATGTAGATGCACGATATATCTGGCTTGCTTCCTGTCTATCCACGAGATTGACTTTTTCTTTCTTTTCGTATTCCATCTCGTTTCTTTGTCTGTAGCCTTATGCCCAATGCCGAGGTAAGACTCACGCAGCATTCCTACCTGTGGCCAAGGTCACATCCGAAAAATTGGGGGCCAAGTGCCCTCTGGCTGAAAGGCAAGGAACCAAGGTAGTCTCTTCTGTCTCAAAAAGCTTTGAAGAGTTCCTCAAGATTTGAAAAGTGGATTGAGTCCAAGGCGGGACACTTTCAGCACATCCCGATATGTGAGGCTAGTGCGTGTCTCGCGGATGTTTATTCCATCCGCGAAAATATCTGGGGAATTGAGCAAGGGCCAATTGACAATGGATTCGGGCGAGAGGCCAACATCCTCGTCAATGTCGGCAATCCCGTGCAAGTAGTCAGTGTAGAGCGACTGGGTGGTTATGAGAAGACTACGCGGCTCCTGCAATATTCTCCAAACGGGTTTCAGATCGATTGCGCCGTCTTCTTTACTACGATAGAGATTGAGACACAGGCTGGCTCCTAAGCTGACGGTACATACCACCGGCCAGTAAGCTGCACCGTCCTGTGGTAGATCAGCATGATGCGTCGTTTGCATTCGTCATCCCTGGAGATTTGGCAGAAAGGTCAGGTACATAACTTATGCGGCATGATGCCGATGCCGGGTGGATATTCATTTATGAGGACATGATTTGGACGCTTGTGCGGGCTTGCATCAAAGAGGTGAATTGCTTCTGTCTCTGAACAGGGAAGCGACAGCAGTCTTGGAATGACGGGATCCTCAAGCCACGAGGGAAGAGAGGCGCTCAAAAGTCGATTCTGTACTAGCTCAGAGGGCCAGGCTTGCAGTCTCCGGTGCGTGAGCTGTTTCCATCTCGGCCTTGGTACGGAAGCAATCTACCGTGCACACGCGCGTTAGCCTGGGAGGGCGAGAACAAGGGAGCATCTGGTTCGGGTGTCGCTGAGCATACTTTGCTGAGCAAGGCCTGCTCTTCGTCTTTGCTGATGAAATTGGGCAGGTAGAAGGCGGACTCGGGCAGGTCAGCAATCCTGGCATGCTCAAGCGATGGTGGTAATTGAAAATCTTGCTGATCATCCATTGCCGGTCATAATAAGGCACAGGGGAGCGACGCGCGGGGAGACACTATGTAGGAGGCAGAGGGGGGGCTGAGCCAATGCAGGCAGGATGGAAAAAGCTCGAATCCAATGCGACCTCAGCTGGAAAAAAAGGCGTTGCAAGCAAGGATACACGCTTTTGTTGGCTTTGTTTGTTGATAGCAGAGGACCGAGGAGGGGCGAGGGGCCACTGGCTGGCTCTAGTCAGGCTGCCAAGTGGAGGTGGCAGTGGCGGCCAACCCACCCGGCGGCCCTCATTGTCCCAAGAAGAAAGCGACGGTGACGGGAAGATACAGTGCATTCATTTCCTGGGTACCGTATGCACGAAGTACCGAGTGGTGGTAGCAATGCCTTGCTGCAGCCTGGAACATGTGTCCTTTTGGGCAGGTACTCGGTCTCCCGCACAGTCAGATTGACGCAGGCAGGCCTCTCTGTTTTGGCCTACTCATTCTGCGAGATTTGTTCCTGGTGCTCCCTTTGGACCTGTGTTGGGACGCCTGCTGGTACCTGCCAGATCGCGATGAGGCCGAGCAGAGGTGCACTGTCGAGAGGTACTAAATAGCAGGGTACCTCGTTGATGACGCCTGGACCAAGTACCTAGCTCCTCTTCTAATAATGAAATGCGACCTCCTGCGTTGTGCTTCCAGGTTGGGGAGGGGCTAGTGCAGGGTGTGCTTAGTCACTTGGGACCGTAGGCCAATCACAGGCGGCTCAGCTGTGGCGATCAGACTTTTGTCTCTGCATGGGCACGGGCTATATGCAGTCTAGCGCCTCTAGGCTGTTTCGCCGTCTGTCGTCTGGGCGAACCCAGGCCAGTCCCCCGTTTGCAGCAACTGAACTCTAGTCTCTAACCTTCACACACTCGCACGCCTCAGCCGAATGGTGCATCGACTTCTGGCATTTCATCCAAAGCATCAATCATTTTCCTAGTCTCTGGGGCATCTCTTTTCGAGTCTGATATCCCTAGTTTGCTTGCTTCTCGTTTTTGGATCCTGCTCGACTTGTCTAGCCCTCGTTCCTACCCTCGACTGTGTTGGCCTGGTCCTTCCAACCTGGTTTCTGACGACCTCCCCCAGTTACGGTCCTCGAGGGCTGCTCAATCCGCCTCCCACTTGCTCAGGTCCGCGCCGGCCTTGAATCGCTACGCGAGTAGCTTTGCCTGCGGATCCTGACAACACCGACGACGCGATCCAATCAATCGCCGCCACCTCGTTCTCTGACAACAAATCGCTTTGCTCCATCCAGGATGTTGGCTGTCGCCCGCGATTCCAACAGATAAATAGTGACATGGATGCGCAGAATGCTGCCGATACAGACCAGACAAAGCGAGCTGGATCTCCGTCCAAGCAGCCCGAGAAGCGCGAAAGCTCTGACCCCAAGTCACCGAAAAGCATCCTCAAGGTAAAGCCCGAGCTACCCGCCAACGAGATCAAGGCAGATACCCCCGTGAATACTGGTGCCGGCGATCACGACTCAGATGCCGAGACTGTTGTGTTACCGGGGAAGGACGGCTACTCTCCGTCCAAAGTTCGCAAGGTTAGACAAGAGGACAGAAGTGATCATGACGGAGATGGATCCAAGGACAACGGACCACCGCGCAAGCGCGACGGTGGTGGGGAACACCATGCCAACGCTGGCCGGATCGATGGAATCTCGAGGGATATTAAGAAGAAGCGTCCGTCCAACTCACACGAGAAGGAAAAGGAGAGATCAGGGCTCAGTAAGGATGGCTCAAGTGGTCTTAGCTCAGCACCAACGTCGCCGCGTCCCCAGCCTCAGGCGCGACGCCGACGCTCTCTTAATAGTTCCTTGTCGCTCTCCGATTCCGAAGATCATCGCCAGAAGGCGGCTACGTCAAAGTCATCGCTACGAGAGAAATTCAAGTCGGGGGAACGATTGCTACCGCATAAACGCAAGGCGCCACGGACTGAATCCGACGATGAGGATGAAAACCGCAAGGCCCGCCGTCCTCGCACCATAAGCGCAACTATGGAGATGACAAGGCCCTCGAAGGATCACCGAGCTCACCCTTCGAAGAGTGATGCCCACCATCGTTCGACTTCGCCGCCCCATCGAACACACCGGAGAAGTGTTTCCACCCAACTGCCATCACAATCATCTAATGGCTCAGGACTGAAGAAGAAGCGTTTGCCTGCGCCCCTGCAACCCCCGGAGGACATTTCAGATGAATCATCTGCGAGCGGTAGCCCTCATTTGCGCAATGCAAAACTGAGGAGCCTAACAACGCCGTCTACTACCGAATCACTTGTCTCTCCCGCCAAGGCTCTGTCTCACAAAAAGCACCTCGATGCTCACGGCCAAACTCTCTTGGCTCGAGCCTGTGCCCGAGGAGAATATGATGCTGCTAAGTTCCGCTTGAAGGACAGACCTGAAGATTTAAATGTCGCTGATTACGCTGGCAATACCCCTCTTCAAATTGCTGCAATTAATGGTTGCGAGGATATCGTTCAGCTCTTGATTGAAGCTGGTTGCAATCTTGATTGTGTTAACTATGATAAAGATACACCTCTCCTAGACGCCGTAGACAATGGCCATCTTGGAGTTGTGAAGCTTCTGCTGAACGCTGGCGTGAACCCTCGGAAAGCGAATGTGAATGGGGAAGAGCCTATCGATCGAGTGACGGAAGAAACCGATAATGCCGAGGAGATTCGTGCTGCACTTATAGAAGCGAAAAAACGGTTTGGTGGGCGGACAAAGACCTCAGAGGACCGGCATTCCCATCACGATCCTCATGAACAACGCGACTCTCATGCCCCTGAGTCACCCCGGCAATTGTCGACACAGGCTAGCAACCGACGTGGTGGTACAGTTCGGTCAACAAAGACGAGAAATGATTTACTCTACATGCCTTTGGACGACAAGACGTTACGACAAGCCGCCGGCCGTGGAGATGAAGAGACAGTAGCTCGAATACTTCAGGTAAAGGACAACTGCGATGACGCAGAATCAATGGTGGCAGCAGCCCGAGGTGGTCATGACTTGGTGATGCAATTACTTCTGGGTTTGGGAGGGGCCAAAGCTGACCCAGAGCCTGTTCCGTCCCAGCCCGAAGAGTTCGCGACGCCTATTCTCGCTGCTATTGGCCAAGAAAACCTTAACGTGGTGGAATTGCTTTTGGAACAACAAAACTTTGACCCTACGAAACGTTTTAAAGGGGAAACATACTACGAAATCGCCAAGCGCCGCCAAGGAACGAACTGGAAAGAAGAAGAACAACTCTTGAAAAACGCCTACGATGCTCATAAGAACTCACACAAGTCTAAGCTGAAGTCTCCTGGAAAGCGCGGACGTGACCGGGAGAGAGAGGAGAAGCGGGCAAGACGGGAAGAAAAGAGCGAAGGCCGCCCCTCAAAACGGCGCAATTCAAGCCCGATTGTTGATGGCGAACATCGCAAGAAACCTCTGTCAGCAAAATTGCCCAGCCCCAGGGAACGCAAGAAATCCGATCCACAACCATCAACCGTAGAGGAGACGAGGTTGAAACGGGGTCCTGTTCGAACTAAAGAGGAAAAACTTTCTTCTGTGATAGTTTCAGACCGGGAAGCGTCACCATCAATTTCCCAAAAGTCTATCAAGGCTAAGCGTGCCGAATCTGATCTAGCCGCCATGTCGTCCGAAGGAGAAACGGCGAAGCCTAGAAGGAAGCTTATTTCCAAGGGCGAATTAAGGGGTGAGCGCGACAAGCGCGATAAACATAGACGACCGAGTATGGCTTCCAATGCTTCTTTCAAGGAACCTTCCAGCCCTCATGATTCGAGACATGATGATTCTACCGATAAGCAGAAATTATCCGAGAAATATCATGATAGGGCAAAGGCTTTGAAGCGTGACGAATCAAAGGATCGCCCGATTGGATCTAGCGATGGCACAGGAAAGCGACACCGGGCCAGTCTCACCCCCGATCGATCCGGCAATGGGGATAAGGAAGAGACCGAAAAACCTGCCAAGCGACAACGTCTGGATGGCGAAGCTTTGGAGCGGAAGCAAAAACGCTTGTCTTCAGATGAACATGTGCGAAAATCCGGCGTAAGTCATGAGGGCTCCAAATTGGCCTCCAAGACCAAAAGAGACTCTGAAGAATCCAAAGCAAGTCATGCTCAACGTGAGCGCAAAGATTCCAACCGGTCCAACCAAATTCAGGATAGCATCCAAATCAAGTCGGAGGATATTGATGTTGAAATGATCAATGTTGACCAGGGAGAGGACGAGCCACGATCGGATGATGCAGCTGAAGACAAAGAGGCCGATAATAAGAAGGCTGCTATTGCCAAGAAGGCGAAGGAAGAAGAGGAGCGCCAACGTGTGGAGGCCGAGGAGGAGAAGAAACGACAGGAGGAGAAGAAGCGGCAAGATGAGAGGAAGCGTCAGGCCGAGGCCGAGGCAGCTCGAAAAATCAAGGAGGTTGAAGAAGCGGAGAAGAATAAGAAATTAGAGGAACAGAAAGCAGCTGAGAAGAAGCGCCGGGAGGAGGAAGAAGTGCAGCGACGGGCAGAGGAAAAAGCCCGCCAGGAGGCTGAAGAACGAGTACGCCGAGAAGCTGAAGAGGCTAGGCGGAAGCAAGAGGAAGAGGAGGAAAAGGAAAGAAAACGCCAGGCTGAAGAGCAGAAGAGACGGGAGGAAGAGGAGGAAAGGCTTCGGAAGGAAAGAGAAGCCTTGGAAGAAGCACGCCGGAGGGAAGAAGAGGAACAACAACGCAAGGAGCGTGAGCACCGCGAACGTATCCAACGAGAAGAAATGGAACGAAAAAGGGCAGCGAGAGAAGCCGAACTACGCAAAATCCGCGAGGAGCAAGACCGAGCTCGCCTGGATAGATTGCCGCCGCTACTGCGGTGGCTGGACACATGCTCAAACCCCAAAACCCCATATTTCGCTGATAAATTCAAGACGATGCAAGGCGTCAGATACGACTGTATCAATCCTTCCACAAACCGCACTGAGGAAGGTCGAGAGCAGTGGGTTCTGAACACACATGTTGCCCTGCTTCTCGGCGAGAAAGACCTCAGCCTTTCTAGATGTAAGTGAACCTTGCCTGTGATCACATCGGCGAGCGCTGTTTGGATAGAATGAAAATCATGGGCTGACACAATATACTAGACACATCGTGGGAGCGCGCCTCGGTTTCTGAACTTGCGAAGACGTCCCTGTGGAGGATTGAGAACGGCCTCTATTCTCTTACCATTGATAAAATGTTGGACTTGGGCCAACAGCTTCCTGGCTACTATGGAGAGGAAGACGCAACACGCTTAAGTCACAATACAATTCAACATCTGCGCAAGGAGGCCTGGGATAGGTTCCGTGAGCTAGACATGTTCTTTGTCAAGGTATGTCGGTCGGATTTCTTGATGTCTCATGGTCGATCCCGCGATGAAGCTAATAATCTCCAATAGGTATCGGACCTTTTATATACTATCCCTACAATACCTCATCTTCATAATCTCAAGATCGCGGTGACGTACCGTGAGCTACTTGAGACTGAGGAACAGGCGCGATTTTGCCGTCCTATGCAGAAATGGAAGCAGGACCCAGATGCCGACCGCTTTGGAGGTCATTTTGCTCCCAGAAACAAATACTATGTTGATGGGAGGCTTGTTGGCGAAGACAAACCCGTGCGGGCGGAAACGAGTAAGACACCGTTCCCTGACCCGCCAAGAGTTCCTCGTCGTGGCGGCCTGGCTTCCGTGATGCCTGATGAGTCAGATTATGAACGATTGTGTATGGAACAGGGCCTTGAACATCTAGTGAATGGGAAGCAAAGCCCATCGCTCCCAAACGGCGTCCATACGCCGCCCGCCAGTCACGCAGATGCTCCCGCCGGCATCTTTTCAACAGAGACTGGCGAAACTAAAGTTCAAAGTGGAACCCAAACCGCCCACGAGACGCATCACTCAACGACTAACGGCGGTGGGATCAATGGAATCAATGGCTCAGCTTAAGCCATCACTGCGGCAGTTGGAGCTTTGTTGGAGAAGCGACTTGGGAACAGCATTCTTTTGTTTTGTTTGATGATGACATGACCACGGCCAAACCACGTTTGTTGTCCTTTGTAATAGAATACCTTATGAAACACCTGTCATTGAACTGTGGTATTCACTCTTGTTTGGAGATCAAGCCTACATTACATAACCCATTTTCAACTATAATGTAAAAAAAAAAAAGAGAAATGACGAGACTCCTCATCAAGATGAGTGGAGAATCAGTTTTATGTGCAGAATAGGCTGTTCACCCACTCGTGAATTCAATGGGATGATTTCCTTCTATTCTTTGTGTGATGGTAAAGTACTGCTGTATACTTGAATCTAATGGCTTCACCTTTACTCAGTGAATATCTACCTAGGTAGTCTCTGTGAGGTGTCATCGATAGGTACCGCCCTTTCTACCAGTTTTGTATTATCTTGGAACACGCGTGCTGGTGGCACCTGCCTCGAAATACTCGGGGTGGGGTTGTTGAAGGAAGCTGCTACCCACTCCTAAACTGACATCACTGAAAGTGGCGGTTCGGTTAGTAAAAAATTTACCCCACCAGAGATTGAAGGCACCAAAACTCACCAACTTCAAACAAAAAAAACCCACTCGACGACGACTCGACGTCTTTGCGACACCGTAACGATCCGTTATCGCCTCTATACAGGTTGAAATCTCCAACAGGCGTTCAACATATCACTTTCTTTAGTTGAAAGACATAGCTGTTCAACATGTCGACCACAGTAGACAAGGTTCGTCGCACCGCAGTTCGAAAGCACATTTTTGACACTTGGGACTAATCACAACGCACGTCCAATAGATCAAAGAGATCGAGTCCGAAGTACGTATACTAGCGAGAACAGTCCCGTGGCATGGTTCGATCGAGAGGCCAAAGTTGACACACCATTTAGATGGCTCGGACTCAAAAGAATAAGGCGACGTCGTATCACTTGGGACAGCTCAAGGCCAAGTTGGCTAAGCTGAAGAGGGAACTTCTGACCCCAAGTGGCGGAGGCGGCGGCGGCGGTGCTGGTTTCGATGTTGCCAGGACTGGAGTGGCCAGTATCGGCTTCATTGGCTTTCCCTCTGTTGGCAAGAGTACTCTCATGAGCCGATTGACCGGCCAACATTCAGAGGCTGCAGCTTACGAATTCACAACCCTGACATCCGTTCCAGGTCAGGTTGTCTATAACGGTGGGTATTCATATATGGAAGAAGTTTTCCCTGGGAGCGCTGTTGGATTAGAAGGCTGATCAACCATTGTTTGGTGTAGGTGCGCCCCTACAAATTATCGACTTGCCAGGTATTATCGAGGGCGCGAAGGATGGCCGTGGACGAGGAAGACAGGTTATTGCAGTGGCTAAAACCTGCCATCTGATTTTCATCGTCCTCGATGTGAACAAGCCTTTGACAGACAAGCGGGTTATTGAGGCTGAATTGGAAGGCTTTGGTATTCGGATCAACAAATCGCCCCCAAACATCACCTTCAAGAAGAAGGACAAGGGTGGTCTGAACATCACGTCAACAGTGCCATTAAGTCACATCGACCACGACGAGATCAAAGCTGTCATGAGCGAATACAGAATTAATTCAGCAGACATCACCATTCGATGCGATGCCACTGTTGATGACTTGATTGATGTCTTGGAGGCAAGGAGCCGAAGGTACGTTTGGGCCTCCCCTCGGACGCCGTGATTAGAGGGTCGCCAATCACTAACAATTTATTGAAATCCAGCTATATCCCCGTGGTTTATTGCCTTAATAAAATCGACGCCATCAGCATAGAGGAGCTGGATCTTTTGTACCGGATTCCTCATGCTGTTCCGATCAGCTCAGAGCATGGTTGGAACGTCGATGAGCTGATGGAGGCCATGTGGGAAAAGTTGAGCTTGAAACGAGTTTACACAAAGCCCAAAGGAAAGCAGCCTGACTATTCTGCCCCGGTCGTGTTGAGAGCAAACCGGTGCACTGTGGAGGATTTCGTAAGTCACACAGGTCCGCTGTCCTCGCCGACTTCTAACTAAAACGTCTTTCAGTGTAACGCCATCCACCGAACGATTGTAGAGCAATTTAAGACGGCTATTGTGTACGGCAAATCCGTCAAGCACCAACCGCAGAGGGTAGGCCTGGGTCACGAATTGGAGGATGAGGATGTTGGTAAGTATTAGCAAATTCCCTTGATGAGTGGACTGGTCTCCAGCCTTTCTGGCAGGCAAGAAGGAGATCTACATGGATCAGTACTAGCCGTCATCTGGCGTGGTTCTCATTCCTTTTGCTGCAGCGCGCGGTCTGCAGCCTGCCGCTTCACGCAATCCTCATCTAAACAGACAGGAAAAGGAATGTTTGTACTAACCTCGAATAGTTACTATTGTCAAGCGATAATCACTAAATCCGAGCTTACAATTAAACTACATAGTACGAGGTACCTCGAAGTTCAGGTTCAAGTGGCCAGCCGGCCCGTCGCGAGAGCAAGCATGCTCGGACGGAAAGCACGGGAGGCTTGTAGTCTCAGTATGCCACCTTCATGCAGGTGGAAAGCTTCGCAAACGACACCACAGTATCCTAGTCCAGTGTACTCTAGTTTCGATCTTTCCGTTCGTCTTGGCGAGCGGGAGCCAGACTGGGTATGCCCGTAGAGTAGCCTGTTTTGGATATGTTGGTTGGGAGCATTGCAATGGCTAATCAGCATGTAGTCCAAAAGTGAGGACCGGCTAGATGAGGCTGATGGCAGGAACTCTAGGGATAGTACAAGACAAGCCAAGACAAAGCACTTCATCTCAAGCAAGAGCGTTCCGGGTTGAAACTGAAATGGGCCATTAAATTTCGGTTGCATTGGGCACACACGCTTGACAAGTAGGGAAGAATTGACTGTTTGCAAACGGCAGCTGATGACCAGGGCTGGACAAGGGGTGGGAGAGTGTGGGAGGGGAGCCGGAGTTACAAGACGAACCTCCAGATAAGTGACACCAAGTTTCCAACTCTGTACATAGTCGCGGAAATAAACCTCGTTCACACTCCAGAAGCAGGAAAGTAAGTGAAAAAAAAAAAAAAGAAGAAGAGAAGACGAGAAGCAAAAAAAGATGCATACAAAGTCACTTGTGGGACGACGTCTTTAGCTCACGGAACGCATCACTCATTGATCTACGTAAATCCACTGTCAAAGTCAGAGATTGAAAATCTTTGAGGCGGCCAGAACGCGACCTGCATAGCCGAGGGCCTCTTGATCTGCGGCCAGAAATTCCCAGCAGAAGGAAACGTGGGATGGATGAGTCCGGAGAAGAAGGTGGAGGGCAGACTGGGAGGAGGGGCTCGCAGGGATATCACAGTGCTTGGCCTGCATCGGGGCGCGTACTAGGGTCAGACGTGGTGGCGTGAGTGGCTTTACACTACGCTCAATCATGTCAATTGGGGGCCTTGGGCACCCTTTGCTTGCTTTTGCCCACGCAGCTCTCCGCTCCGCAGCGTAGCTCGAGCCTTTCACAGCGCTGCTCTTGCCGCCGAGCAGAGTGACCAACCGAACAAGATCGTGATGGTGGGGCCACGCCTAGCGGAGTCGTGTACCTCTGATAGGTACCTTACAGTACCTGCAGACATGTTCTGTGCCACTCTCTGCCCTGCCGGATGACGGGCTTGGTCCAGCAGAGCAAGGCGAGGGGGGTTGGTGACATCAACAGACATCAACAGGCGGTTCCAGTTCAGAGCCGACTCGTCCATCCGGAGCCGTGCGAGGAAGCCAGTCTCAACAAAGGTTGATGAAAGGCGGACGCTACCACAGACTATTATCCCTGACCTGACCGATATTGAGCTATGGCAGTCCAAATCCAGGGCTAGCAAGCCGGGGTTGAGAGTTACAACCGGACGTACAGGGGACGAGCATGAGCTGAGGCGGGACCTGCGGGAGCCGGGACGACACTTTGTTGAACCTGCACTCGCATGACAGGACCAGGGTATGGACTTTACAGGGTGTGAACCAGGGCTCGGCTGCCCATTCATCACCTAGCCCTTGGGGGTCGGCCGGGGGTCCACCAACTTTACAGACGCAAGGGGATGGAGAGATCGAAGAAACAATCCAAGTGATACAGCAAGAACTCTCGCAGGCAGAGACTGGAAGCATTGGCAATGCTGCTCCGTCGGTTGGAGTCCAAGTCGACGTGGATGCGGTGGAAGTTTAAAGGGGGCTTCCATTGGGCCGAGCAGCATGCTCCGGCATCCATACCAACGACGTTGCATGTAGCAAGTGCGGATATTTTCGCCGTCTTGGGCCTCTGTGTGTGCACGAATGTAAATCTGTGTGTTACACCAAAGGGCATCAAGGCTACAACAGCATCTCGGTCGGGAGGGTGCCGGTAGGGCCTGACGGGCTCATGTCCTCTTGATTTGAGTCGTTGCTGTCATCGGCCATTACGTATCACTCTTCCGCAAGAACAGCGCCAGGTCAAGTATGGCAAAGCACCCTCCGACCCTCCACATACATACCAAAGCTACCTACTAAAATACTACATCTCTCTCAAAGCCAAATTGTCTGAGAGCCGGCGTCAGGGATCTTGAACAGGCTGACCAACTGGAAAGGCAGCCGGGATCAACACAGCGGCATTTCGCTTGGGATAGGAACCCACACCCCCATGAGACCTGAACGGCTTCTCGCTCTCCCGCCCTTTGATCTCAAAATGATGACAATTAAAGTCAAATCTCTTGGTGCCCAATGGCCGGAGATTGCATGCAACGGATGCAAAAACTCGGCTCCAGACCGGCGCTACGCTGGCCAGGACTGTCCTTCCTAAGAGGGAACTGGACGCGATTGAACTGAGCCACTACCGTAGGAGATGAGAAGGTGGATATTGGCTGGCAAGAGCGTGGTCAGCGAATGCCTTCCACTGGCCTGAATCAGCCCGGCTGGCAAGCTGAGAACTGATTTCAGACCAATCAGTATAATTGATGCGACGGAATACGAAGCCCCCCCTCCCTACTCCCACCCCTAAAAAGAAAGAAAAACGATATCTGGGGATGCAACTGACGGGATTGATTATTTATTCCCTGTCTATAGTCAATTGCTGCAGCTGGCGACAGTTAGAAATTGAGCATAATGCGAACCTGCTGTGAACGGGCGGTCGGCCGTTGAGCGGCTATGTCGCGGCCAGCCAGTACTTGGAGTGGCAATGGGACTGGCGATGAAGGAATAAAACACTGCAATATTACAAAGGGCTGCTGCTATGGTTGAGAGTTTGCTCAAGCCAGCCAATTACCATCTTCCTCAGCGCGCTTCTGCGCGACTCATGTCATGTCGGCGAGCCTTTCGAGGTACGATCGGTGTGATCTGATTTAAGCCCGATGGAAGGATGCTCACGGTCAGGCTTGCATGAAAACCGTTGGTGGCCCTTCCAAGTGCCGTTGAGGGATCAAGGTGGGAAGGGCCTGTTTCAACTGTCCAGTAGTCTTACACCAACGAGGGGTACGAGGCTGGCAATGCACGCGGAGACTTCAGTTTGCAAGCCACGACCAACAGCCATTTTCCTCTCTTTCTGTCCGATACCCACAATCTTTCTCTTGTTGGACGAAACAGAGAGCAAAAGGCCAAAAAAAAGTCATCCTTGCCGGGGTTTGCCTGTTGCGCCCTACGGTGTGGAGACGTGGTAATGATAGTAGCGAGCCACGGAGAGTATGTATCAGATCCCATCCCATTAGCCACGGCAATTTACGTGTGTGTCAACGCAGGAATGGAATTGAACCCTCACTTCTCTAGATGCAGCGGGGGTAGAGAGAAAAGAGGAGAAGCGATGGCAGAGTATACCACGAAGAAGCAAACATGAAGCAAGAAAATATCCATCACATGCAGTTGATGTCGCTTGCCGGCCGCAAGACGCGACGACAAGCACCAGAAGAGGAATGCAGACTAACCAGATCCCTGCGCCTTCATCCACTCACTCATGCTACCACTCTATCCGCGCGTTCAATTTTCTTTTTACATTACACACAAGCAAGCGGGCAGGCAGCCCTGGAAGGACGCACTTCCTAAACCTTGGCCTACGGTCAGGCTAGATATGCACAAGAAGGTCAATCAAGTATGGCCAGCTTGGATTACCCCTGCTGTCCGTATGTAGTACGGTTGGGCTTCCCGTCTGTGAGCCTCGCCCGGCGGTCGATCGTGTCCGGGGAGATACTCCAGTGGCAGACGGACCACGGAAGGCGAAAGGGCTAGTAGGGGGATAGGAAAAAGCAAAAGAAGAAGCAAGCGTCGGCAACCGAATTAGGCCCTTGCCAGGCTGTCCTTGCCTTCTCCATCTTCCAATACATCTGCAATCATCCGCATCGTTCAACTTGGCTTGACTTGGCTCAGCGTAAACTGGCCTGAACCTGCTGGCGAAACGACGATGACGAGGACGAGAAGGTATATTAATTGAAGGGGCTCTGCTCCCCGACCGACATCGACGCCTTCCCTCCTTCCCCCCCGATCACAGGGATGGTGCCTTAAAGAGCGTCCTATAAGATCTGCCAAGGTACGGATGCTGAAATCACTGACGGGTCTTCACATCCACTCAGACCGTCTTACGACCCCCCTTGATCCGCTCTAATAGACGCCCCCTCCCCGGTCCAGGGCCCCAGTATTAGCCCCCTTGCTCATTGACGCCCAGCGTAGCTTCTCAAATCAAAGCTGGTCCTTTGCCATCTCCACTGACCGGCCGGAGTGGGAGAGAAAGAAAGAGCCTAAGACGAACAAGCGGCGGAGAGAGACAGAAATGAAGGTATGTGTGTGCTAATCGTCCCGCCAAATGCCTCAATGAGACCACATAATCTGCTGCCTCAGCATAGCGACCCGCCCTCTACCCTCCTTGTCGTCGCCTACTTCTGCGCGGAGGACGACTTCAGCTGGGAAACTGATCCACGAGAGTGCATTCGGGAATCTGATCACTCGGCTTTCCTTTTAGGCTGGGCTGGGCCAAGTACCCATCCGCGTACAGTCGCATAAAAGCTTGTAACATAACACTCACCACAGCTTGGGGGGGTTTCCTCACAAAGCTAGTTAGCACCTCGCCCCCAGGAGGAAGAGCCCTTCTCTGGTGTCGTTTTGCTGCTATTTTGAGACGAAGACGGAAAGAGAGGACTAGGCGGCGGCGGCAAGCCGGACTTACTATCATGAGCGTCGGCCGTGAGTGCTTGACCGGTGTAGCTCTGTCGCTTGCCTGCCCGTCGTTTCTCTTTCGGTTTTATTTTTTAAGGTGTGGTGGTGGGTGGGCGAGGCCCTTGCCTAGCATCATCGGCTAGTGAAGCCCCATATCTCGTCTCATCTCCTCAAGGTCCTTGCCCTACAGCGACAATCATCGTCGTTATCATCGCTTCTCATCATCACGGCGCGCGTACATGTCCGTCGCATAACAGCAGAGGGCGAAGCAGACAGGGCCCTGCGCAGCCCTGCGAGCACATGACACGAATCCGACCTGTAGGGAGCGACAGTGCCAATGGTGGAATCCGAGTAGACGTTCACCGTAGCCAACTCCCATGACATTGCGGCACCCGCCCACGCGACATGATGGCGTCTGTGTGGTTGTCAGTCTATCGTCATGCTGTCATTGTGGGCGGGCAGAGGAGAAGACAGGGAGGGCAGAGGGCCAGTCAGGCAAGAGCAGAGAGAGAAGACGGAAGCTAGCAAACTAGAGGCATGGGACCGACCATGCGAAGGCTCTTGGGCTGGGGCCATGCTTACCCCAGCTTGCTTAAGACCTTCGCATCCATGGCCAGGTCCAGGTCAAGGCTCAGCGGCATCGGCACCGGCAGCTCCCACTGATCACCATCAGTGGCAGTCGAGCTTGAGCGAGGGAGGACAAACTACGTTGGTCTCATCGGTCGGCGGACGATGCGAATGTCAGAAATGTGCCGTCCTGTCACGTCGGACGCCCCCTCTCAGCTCTCCTCCTGGTCATCACGATCCTCCCCTTTCGTCCATGCCTACGGAGGTCGCCAGAAGAGCCTGCATGCACTCTATGTCCACCGATCCAGACAGGAAGACATAGGGCCAAGGACGGCGCGAGGAGAATCAAATCAGTCCTCGAGGTACCTACCTGGTAGGCATCCGGCCATGCCCCAGCCCGGATCCTCACTCACTCATTCACTGATTAATACATACAACATTCATTCCGGCACCCTCTCTCTGTGTACACGCCCCCATCCATCCATCCAACCATCCATCCATTCCCTTCGCTCCCCTTCCTAGATTTCATGCTACCCACCCCCAAGACAAGACCCCTGCGATTGTCCCCTTAGCTAAACGGGGCTGGGCTGGGTGCGTCTGCGAGTACAAACATAACGTCCTGCAGCAAGTGACTTCTTCCCTTCCTTTCCTGTTGTAGTTTGGTCTTTGTCCCGTCTTGGGGTACGTACATACATAGGTACAGGCCAAGCGGTACCTACATGTGCATACATACACACACACCTACCCTCATACACACTACTACATCCATCCATCTCTTATACCATACTTGCCTACTCTCCATGTCTGGTATCTTTTGGCCCCGTTCGTGACTCTAGTCCATTTGCGTTATCTAGACGATATCCCGCCGTCACAGATCACCTTCCACTCTATCAATTTCACCTTGAGCTGTCCTCGGTTTACAAGACGCTGACTCGCCGGGTCGTAGCTGGCGGCAAACCCTCGATTCGTATAGGCAGATCCTCAAATCACCCCGTTCTTGGCCTCCCGAACTCTCCACCCGAGACTGGACTGACTTCTTGTCCCAAACAAGCTTTGGGACCTCCTCGACGAACTTGCCTCGCCCTCCGTCTTCACTTCTCCCAGGCCTCTTCGGTCTCTGCTGTCTAACTTGCCCACTCGCTCTCCTTCTCTTCTACTCTCTCGCCCAAGTCCTGTATTATTTATTGCTTCTCGCGTGCGCGCCATAGCATCCCGCCACTGCAGCATCAATATCTATTCCCCATCCATTTCCGAACTTCCTTGGGCGTTTCTTGCCCGCTTTCTTCCTCCTCCTCTTTCGCTCCACTCTGGCTGTAGGTTTCTCCCAATCTCAACTTCAGAGCGCCAATGTCTTACTTAAACGGCAGTGCAGCTTAACTATCTGGCCGAGCTTACCTGTTGTCTCACTCACACGCGGGGAAACGCAAGCCTCCCCGCCGCCATAGGTTTCAGGTACAGACAGACAGACAGACAAGTTTCCAACTTCCTCGTCGGCTGCAAGCAAGCAGATATACAGCAAGTAGGACTGGCGGGCTAATAACAACTACGGTCTAAGAGGACTCCATCCTAGAGTATTCGCTTTTCGTGTGATACAACATATACTTTCATCTTCCCAGCTATTCTTAGCAAGCCAGCCTTATCAGCTCCAAGACCACCGCTGAGAGCAACTAACAAGGGCTGTTTTCCATCTCTCTTGGTTGCTAACATACAGAGCGACTAACCCGGTTCTTTGGAAGAGGATCATGTGTCTCTATACTCACAGTTGTTCATGAGCGCAACCCGACTCTGTCTGATTATCGGGGCTGCAACGCAACATTAGTGTCCCCAAAAGCCTTCGCCGCAAGCAAACAGTCGATTTCCCCTCGTCACTGGAAGTCCAGATTAGACCCTGTCGTCGGTCTCTCTGGGGCTTCACCTCCCACTTGATTCGATCTTTCTTTTGGGTTTGCCCTGTCCCGGGTTGAGAAAGAGAACGAAAATGAATAACGCAATCGAGGGCTCGACGGGCATGACACCCGATACAATAATGACCCAGAGCAATGATTACGGAAATGACACTTGGAGCATCAGCCCCTACAGTCAGAGTCCTTATAACAACAGTCCAATGACCGAGTATGGAAACTGGGGTGGGTTTATTCCTCAAAATCTACAAGCTGAGCCGATGGCGTCCAGAATGCCTCCGCCCCATGCGCAACCTCAAATCCATCACCAGATGATACAGCCAGCCCCTACCCCAATGGCCCATCATCAACTGCCGATGCTAAACACGACATGGCCGAGCCAGTTAACAAATCCCTCCCCAACGGGAAGTTACTCCGCGCCCCCTTTATCCATGGCTCCGGTCTCGAATCCTCAGCAAGTCGAGGCTCCTCGGCCCCAGCCTGCAGCTCCGCCACCTCCACCTCAGGAGAAAGCACGAAGAACGTTGAGCACAGAGCAAAAGCGTGCGATGTGCCTATACTATGAAGAAAATCCGTCAGCAAAGCAAGCAGAGATTGGTGCTCGCTTTGGTGTCGAGAGAAGGTAGGTACCCTATTGGGGAGAGTTGCCAAGCTCCCAACAGCAGAATCTTGCCCCCCGCATGCGTGTGTCGTCGCTAACACCTGCCGGCTCCAGCACGGTTTCGAAAGTATTGCGGCAAAAGGAGCACTATCTCAAGCGCGAGCAAGAACAGGAGCCCTCCTCGACAAAGAGAGGCAAGGGTAAGCATCCTGATTTCGACCGAACACTCAGCAATTATGTTCGGAGACAGCAGGAAGGCGGTTTCGAGATCAAGGACGAGGAGATAATGGACCAGGCGAAACTGTTCGCCCGCGCAAGCGGTCATCAAGACAGTCTCGTGTCAAGTCTGACTAGCAGCTGGCTGCAAAAGTTCAAGCAAAAGCATGGAATTACATCTGGTCGACTTATGAGACGTGCATCAGAGACGAACATCCCGGACAGTGCCCGAATGTCAACATCGAGAACCAAGAAAAAGAAGGAGAAATCAGACATCATTTCTCCAACTTCACCGTCAGGGCAGAAGTCGCCGCTCTCGGATGGCCGCAGCGATGAGGACCAGCAACACGACGGCTTCGACTTTAGCGCTTTCTCATATCGCCAAGCTGCCTCCCAGTCCGCCACGTCACTGTCCAGCAACTTGCGCGATGCGGGCAATAACTCATCCTTCTCAAGCAGTGCGATGAGCCCTACTGGAACCGTCACCTTTTCTCCCGACCCCAATACCGGTGCTTTCGCCGTGGACCAAACCTTACAAAGTCAAATGGCGGATATTAGGACATCCAGCATCACACCTTCTTCAGATCTCCAGCCGCGAGAGAAGCGTAGCAACACATTCCCGTCTCTCAACCTCGATCTCGTTAATCAGGTGGTTTCCTCAGAGCCGATGACACCACACCACCAAATCCCATCGACCGCACCGTCCTCGGCTATCGAATCGCCTGTTCACGATTTCAACTCGGCTCCCTTTGGCATCGACAGTACACTAACTTCTCCTCCACAACTTCACCGAAGTAGCAGCAATTCGAGCATGACGGGGCGCTCTACACCCGTCACAAATGGGACGATGCCAGCGGCATCCATAGACTCGTCGCCAGTCTCGCCCTCCCAGGAAGATGCATGCCGCGCGGCAACCACACTGCTCAGCTACATCCAAAGCAGCATGAAGACGAATGGTCAATTCGAGCACTCCGAGCTGATGACGCTGGTGCAGCTGACCAATAAACTGCAGGTTCATCAGTACCAGTCTCTCCGACCAGCTATGGGGGGCCTTTCCAGAATCCCCGAGGGTGACAGCGAGGTGCCTGCAGCAACTGAAGTAATGATGGAAACCATGTGACTATCATGGTACCCAGTTCCCGGTGTGCTTGCTTGATCGGAACCTGGGAATGGTGGAGAGGATTCCATGGCGCTTGTCTACTTCCTATTGGCACTACCAACGACATGACAGGATTAGGCTTAAAAGCAAGCATCGTGGCCACTCGGGCTTGAGTTTCTTTTCCCAATACTACAACATGGGCCGGCAACGGCTACAACAGGAGGAGCCGGTACTCCTACTACTCACCGCTCGTGCGACGAGGGGACGATGGAGAACAGAAACATGTGCAGAAAAAAAAACCAGACAGAACAGACAGATATGAGGCGTATGGCCTCTGGAAGCTGGAGAAGAGAGAGGGGGCTAACCACAGACGAAACCATCACGTTGCCAAGTGGCTGGGAGGCGGAAAGAGAGGGGCACGACTACGCGATTTGTGAAATTTTACAATCTTTTGTTATCTTTTGTTTTTGGATATTGTTCATACGGGCTTACAGGTACGCAGAAAGAAGACTTGGGAGAGGAAGAGCTTCACAGCTCAAGGAGCAGAAAGGGATTTTGCAACTATTTCTTGGTTTTACCGTTCATGCATTGTTTTTCTTGTTTGGGTTTCGCTCTTTTTTTTTACCACTATCATTTCCCCCCTTTTTCGGGGATTGCATTTTTACTCTTTTGTGTTTTGTCACATCACATCATAACCCTCGCTCTCTATCATATCATATCTACAGGGTTGTTTTACCGCATTTGTTCAATGGTCATCACCAACCATCATTATCACATCGGGGTTCATTGGGGAAGGGGGGGGTGTTGGATTCTAATGCCGGGCAACTGGGACGGGCTAGTTCACGAAGCAGCTGACAGGGCGGGGGGCGCAGGAGAGCAACGGGGCAAAGTGTCTATTGTGTTTTTTCTTTTCTTTATTTCGTCTATTTTAACCGGCGAATAGCAAAGCTGGGCTTGCACTTTGGTACCAAACGAGCAGGACAGGAAAGGACGAGGTCACTCTCTCTCTCACACATACGCACACATATCAGAGACACTTTACGCTGGCCCACCCCTGCTTGGGATGTTCTCCTCGTCATGTGTTTGGCTCTCATTTTTCCGGGTGGATTTACATAATTATTGGGGGCTGGATCGTAACGTTGATATCCGGGGGCCGGGACGCGGGCATTCACTACCGACATAGGTAGCAGGTATACATACATACATTCATGTATAACAAACGAAAAATACAACATGAGGACGAAGCAAAATAAACGGCTTCTGTCTGTATTAACTATTATCATTAACTTGACATTTGCTTCCCTGTTTCACCGCTCGCCCAACCTCTCCTCCCACAGCTCCTCGACGCCCTTGTCTATGAGCTCCGGCATTAGCTTCACGAGGACGAGCTCCAGCACGCCGTACACCAGGTGCTTGTTGCAGTACTGGTCGGAGAAGACCATCAGCAGGGACTCCACTTGGTCAACCATCCTCTCCTCGTCCTGGCGCTCCATGTCGATATCGCCACCGCCACGGTGCAGCAGGCGACCTCCGAGGTACAGTCTGCCGGCGGTACTAGGAACCAGGCTCCATAAAGCGCTAGCCGCTCGCCTGCGTAGGGCTAGCAGCTCCTCATCCGACGAGGGAGGTACCAACGAGGACTTCCCGGGGGCGTTGTTTGGGAAGAGCACGCCTCGGACGGTCCGAAGGAGGTGTGGGAGGTGCGACGAGGAAATGAGGGACTGGATGTAATGGGATAGGAATCTAAAAACCAAACATCGTTAGCGCAAGCTTCTAAGCCGAGTCACGGTAGGATTCCGGGCCATCAAGATAGCAAGGTGAGAAGCTGCCTTAGTCGAAACAAGATCACGGTAAGGAGGGAAGCGAGTGGCTGCCTTGTCGGCGGCTGCACTAGGGATGGGGCGGAAACCCAAGGCGGCAACTGCAGCTATCAAGAAGCACTTAAAGGGATGGGTGTATGGTTGGTTGGCTGGCTGGCTGCTGGTGTGCGGGGGAGGACACAAGAAGGCTCGTGTTCCCGCCTTGTGCTCTCATCGAGAGGTGGGCTTGCGATGAATGGAGACCACTGGTGGATGAAACGCTGGCGGGCCTCAATAGACGAACATATCCTCGTGAGGGAGCGTCGTTGGCTGAGCACTCGCTGCGAGCCTGATGGAGAGCTGCAGGCAAGGCGATCGCCTGATGCCTGCGCTTTACGCTAGTATTCCGCAAGCGCACGCCTCTAGCCCACGCAGCAGACGTCAGACATGATCAAACGGCGGGGGAAACGAGACATGTCGTCTCTAGCCCTGTTGGTTGTGGTAGACGCACTTTGCGTCGACACTAACATGGCCCGTCCCGATGCGTGATGTACATCTGTCACGGCAAGCATAACCAACAAGCGTCTTGACCACGCAACGTGACCTCGACTAGGATGACAAAGATCTTTTTTTCTGTCTCTCCAGACACCCCGATGCCTGCTCGCTCTTTGATCGTGTACTGTCCGTACCTGCACGAGCCACTTGACGTGATAGTGTCGGAGTACATCAGACCCTGGTCAATGTCGGCGCGTAGAGCCGCGGTGTCGCTGGCTGGATTATCCAACATGGTGCCACACCTGAGAGAGCAATCAGAAGCTCAATCTGCAACGGTGCACGCCAATTGGCCAGGCTAGGAACAACGCCAGCAAATCGATCTCTCCGGGGCTTGAATATTCGCTCATCCCCATAATTGATAGAGCAACTCCCCAGACCACTGTGAGCTATCATCGTCCTTTCGCAGACGCAACCCAAGCTAGTCGGACCAGGGGCCAGGCCAGAGGGCCGAAGGTAACTCTCTGTTGGCCAACTGCCATCGGGAGCAGCCTGGTGTCAATCAATGCTCACTAGAGCGGAAAATAAATGACGAGATCCACTGCGAATGGGTCTGGTCTGGTCTGATGTGATGTGACGGGATAGGAATGGACTTATTGCTGCCAAGGGCTTGCTTCCTTCTTCTTTCCGTATAGAGGCGTAATGAAATGGTGAAGAGCTTACCTATCAACTGTACCGTTGAGCCTGCCAATGCGGCCTGGACCCTTGAGACATCCATGTAGAACAAGGGATAGCATTCCGCTAAGCCAGGGCATCCTCGAGGGGAGCTCGATCAGATTACCGGCGCATGACCAAATGCTGAAGCTAAGAATCGGCGCTTTCGGATCATCGTGAGGCGCGGCCTCATCAACCTTCTTGGCTGATGTGGTTGGTTCGTTCTCGTCACCGTCAAGCACCAACCGAGGCGGCAATGAGGAGGAGGCCACTACAGCCGACGCAACCAGGCGGATCGAGGTGATGAAGACGATTACGAGGTTGATGAGGGATAGGAAAAACCCGTGAACGTTCCAATTGCGGGGCAGCCCGCCAGTGCTAGCAGCCAGTCTTTCCGCGGCTTCTGCCCTCTTGCGCCGCTGCAAGTTGGCCAAGATGCAGATACCTTCCCATATCAGCCATGGTTGCGCTACTCTGTTGGCTACCAGATTGCCAATGATGAGTTCTGAAAAGATTTGCCCCACGATGGCGGTAAGGCACGGGTTCTCGAGATCCTCAGTTGGTAAGAGAATCGCGAATACGGCCTGGACTAGCAGCTGTCGGTACGCCGACTCATTGTCCCTTTGCTCTGTCACGGTGGCCTCATCGTCGCTTAGAGGAACAGGGGATAGAGAAGGTAGGGGAATAAGCGCATGATAGACCTGCCTGGGCTCAACATGTACATGGCTCTGAGCAGCTGGTCGATGCGCAGCGCGATAGGCTGGAACTCGTTAGCTGGCGGCGTTCACCATATCACCCTCTTCCTCCCATCTCGTGACTCAAAGAGCGCACCTGTGATGTGCTTGTCTAGTAAATCCGGGACTTGATCCAGCAGCAAGCTCTCCCAGTCCACCTTTCTGGATCGCTGCTCAAGCGCGCGAGTGAGGTGTGCGATGATGTGCACAATCTCCGCCACGAAGTTCTCGTCCGAGGTGATCTTTCCGTACCAGCTCTGGACAAATTGCCGTAGGATGATGGCCAGGAAGGCATAGAGCTCGAGGTCAACGTCATTCCTGCTCGTAAGGGGGGGCAACAGCTCCTCTATGGGCTTCTGGGTGTCGCGGCCCTTGTCACCGAGTTGCTGAGGGCATAGCGTCCGCCGTATCAGGGCTGAGGTTGCCCGCGCAGAGAGCGGATCTGATGGCGGCGCTCGACGCGCTGCTGCCGCCACCTTAGACTCGGTGTCGGTGGCTGATGAAGTCGGCGGTCTCAGACGAGGGGCAGGGGTGCCGGGTGGTTGTGCTGCGACTGTCGTCATGACATCAGGATAGCGGCGCCGTCCAGAGGGAACGCTGTCGGAATCATGACCCAGCGGGGGGCTTCGCTTGGTGTTACACAGCGGCAGTGCTCTGTGGGAAGCAGTTCGCCGGTCTGCAGTCGCCGTGCTTGTGTCGTGGATCTCGGTGAGTGGGATGTCGAGGTCAGTGGCGGTGCGAGCAGTTCGCAGCTGCTCCTCTCTTACTGTCTTTGTACTTGCCTGAACCGTGCGCTGCGTATCTCCCTCCTTATCGGCTTAACCTAGACCGCGTCCACATGCATTCCATCCATCCAGCCATCCAACAACATTAAATGCCAAAGTAGATAAGGCTCTTGGTGGTTATCTTTTGAATCTCACTTCATTTCTTTCTCGGCCATTTATCCCGTCGGCTGGAATTTTTTTTTCGTGTTGGATGTCGACTGCTATTGAGCAGCTCTGACGCCGAACTGTTGGAACTGCAAAGCTAAGGAACCCAACCACTAATTTCCATGTGACACGTCTAGAGAGTGTACCAATTGAACTGCCCAAGTATTTGTTGATTACGGGAAGCATTCACACGAGGGCAGTTTGCAATGCTGATCTGGGTAGCCAGTAAGGGGAATATCGTTTCAGATTGAGTTCAAGTGATTCTATATCCAATCATGACATATAATAGTACATATATTCTGTACAAAAATTGTTACACTATCTATTAGCCTGTCGGCATTTTGTCAAGGCCA